CCCTCATCACTCACCTTTTGGGGGGAGTAATTGCTGCAAACCGCTCTGAGGGGCAGGGTCCGCTGCCCAGCGTGGCGGCCGAGCAGCATGCAGCCCCAGCTCTGCAGGGCCATGCCGGTACTCGCCGCGGCTCGGAGCAGCCCCCGTCCGTCTGAACTGATCCACCCGGGCTCTCAGACCGTGCTTTGCAGCATCTGCCACGGGGAGGGACGGCTGGGAGCTTGTTACCCCAGGATTTCATGCCAGCAGCTGAGCAGCTGGGGAGATGTTCATTTGGTGGTCCGGGGCTGGTATCCTTCCCTGCCCCGCCGACCTTGCCCCCGTAGGATTCCCAGCTGCTGCAGAAAATTCAGCATCGCCCCTGGTGCACATTTGAGTCATCCCCAGTGTGCTGTAATTCCCTTCTGACTCGCTGGAACAGCCCCAAACTTCTCCCCGTCCCCCTCCATACACCTCCCGAGGACCCAGCTCTGGCCCTGCCGAGGAAATTCGGAGCGGAGGAGGAATCCGGGTTGTGCCGAGCTCCTGTTTGCCCAGGAATGTGCACCATGGAGGGGCCACGATCTCTCCCATCGCCTGCGTGCAGCCGCCTTGGCAGCTCAGGCTGCTTTCCTCTGCCCCTCCTGCTGCCGGCCGCCGGAGAGGGCTCCTTGGCACCTGGGCTGCGTGGGTCGGCATTTGTTGGGTCTGACTTTTGTCTCTGTGCCTTGCGATGTGAGGAGGGGCACGTATTCGGCTGGTGCCTCCGTGCCTTGTTTGTTTAGCCCCGTAGCCACATGCAGCGTTGCGTGAGAGCTGTGTTTGCAGAGCAAATAAGGCTCCACGAGCAGAATTCGCCGTTTCTCTGATGCTTGCGGGAGTGAATCAATGCTACCTAATAGCTAGAAGCGGGAGCCATAACTGCTGAATAGGACTGTTCATTTTGCCTTGTAAACACAACTGTTAATCTCTCTGGGGATTAGAAGAAAAAAAAAAAGCTTAAAAAAAGTGTACTATTCCCTCCGAGCCTTCCACCCTTGCCGCTGGGAAACAGGAGCAGGAGTCTGTTAAAATGGGAAGAAAAAAATGGAGCCACTTCTCATTTGTGAGAAGCAATAAAGTGGTTATTGCTTGAAAGCCTTGCTCCCGGGCTCCTGCCGTATGCTGAAGGAGGAAGGGGACGGTTTCATACACTGCTGAGGCCTCGCCTGTGCCTAAAATACCTGCCTCTTGAATTCCACAGCAGAGAGCCAGCGGGCTTTGCTGTACAAACGCAAGGGAGATTCATGTGGGTAGTCACAGCCCGAATGCCTGTGGGAATAAGTTCCCTGGAAAACAGCGAGCGCGGTTGTTGCTGGTGCAGCGAACGCGGCTTTGAACGCAGCTTAAAGAATCGTTAACATCTTGTCTTGATCATGTGATGAGCTTTCCTGACGGCATTCCGCTTTGGGCTCTTTGAAGTGTTTTAGCCAAGTATTTACTATCTGACTGCATTACAGTAAATGCAGATCATTCACACTGCTGGCTTTAATCCCTCTTCCTTGGCCAAATTCCAGCCGGAGTGATTTCATTTTTGCCTGTTGATGCCTAAATTCTTTATTGCCATTTGAGACTGCTGCTTCCCGTCGTATCCTACCGTGCAATGCTCTGCATGTTGTTAATCAGCCGGCTTCTGCCGTCCCAGCGGTGACTACAATTCAGGGCTTGCTGTAATTCCCTTCGAGCTCCTTCGGGCTGTAAAACAAGTGATGTCATTGCTTTGCTTAGCAAGTGTCACTTTCTCTCAGAAGGTCAATAAATGCCTCCGCTTCCTTCCGTACACTGCTGCAAAACGCGGTGGAAAGCAGGAGGCGGTCGCTAGCAATTCTTCCTTTGAAATCCGTGCCTGGGGAGAGGGCTGGGCTGCTCCCTTTAGCTGTAAGAGGTGTAAAAGGGGATGCCTTCTCTCAGAAGAAATACAGCTGGAGGGAGGATGAAGCCCCTGGCACCCCGGGGTGCTGCCCAGGGCAGGGTGCAGGGAGGGGTGCCTGCTGGGGACCCCACACTACCGGTCCTGATGGACTGCAGCCTCCTAGCATGCAGGTCGCGGGATGCAGCTCAAGGGCTGGGGTCAGGGTTGGGCCCCTCCCTCTCCGA